CGCAGTGGCTCACACCTTTAATCCTAGCACTCTGGGAGGCTGAGGCAGGTGGATTGCTCGATGTCAGGAGTTCGAAACCAGCCTGAGCAAGGGCGAGAACCCATCTCTACTATAATAGAAAGAAGTTAATTGGCCAACTAATATATATAGAAAAAATTAGCCGGGCATGGTGACGCATGCCTGTAGTCCCAGCTACTTGGGAGGCTGAGGCAGCAGGATTGCTTGAGCCCAGGAGTTTGAGGTTGCAGTGAGCTAGGCTGATGCCACAGCACTCACTCTAGCCTGGGCAACAAAGTGAGACTCTGTCTCAAAAAAAAAAAAAAATATGATCCTTAGTCATTTTCTGGTTGAAAGTACATAGATTTAATTTTTTCTTTGGTTTCTTACCCTTCAATCCTAATTTCCTAGAGATAGAAGTAAGGGAAATTAAACTCCTGCCTCAGCCTCCCAGGTAGCTGGGACTGCAGGCATGTGCCACCATGCCCAGCTAAGTTTTTCTATTTTTGTTAGAGACGGGGTCTTCCTCTTGCTCAGGCTGGTTTTGAACTCCTGAGCTCAAGCAATCTTCCCGCCTTGGCCTCCCAGAGTGCTAGGATTATAGGTGTGAGCCACTGCACCCAGCCTGCCATTATAATCTATTTAAATTACAAATATGAACATATAACTCTTTTCAAACAAAACCCATTGGTGGCTTCCTATCACCTAAGTTTGAGACTTCTTAGAGTGACACAGTTCCTTAATGCTCTGGTTCCTCATAACTTCTTCAATCTCAGCCACAACTACCACCTCACATGTGATGTACCAATACAAGTTATTATGTAGATTATATATTACCTAATCTGTTTGGCAGATTTAGTTCTTCCCAGTTGTTGTTTTTTTTTTTTGCTTCTGGGTTTTTTTTTTTTTTGAGACACGAGTCTCACTTGTTGCTCAGGCTAGAGTGAATGCTGTGGGGTCAGCCTAGCTCACAGTAACCTCAAACTCCTGGGCTTGAAGCGATCCTCCTCCCAGCCTCCCGAGTAGCTGGGACTACAGGCGATGCGCCACCATGCCGCAGCTAATTTTTTCTAGATATATATTAGTTGGCCAATTAATCTCTTTTATTTATAGTAGAGATAGTCTCGCTCTTGCTCAGGCTGGTTTCAAACGCCTGACCTCAAGCAATCCCGTCCATTTGGCCTCCCGGAGGTGCTAGGATTAAAGGCATGAGCCACCGCACCTGGCCTGTGACTGGCTTCTTCACTAAGTATAATGTTTTCAAGTTTCATCCATGTCGTAGCATACATTAGGACTTCATTAGGACTTCATTCCATCTTATGACCAAATATTCCATTATATAGATGGATGAATACATTTTATGTATCCATTCATCAGTTGATAGACATTTGGGTTGTTTCTACTTTTGACTATTATGAATAGGGCTGCTATGGAACATTCATAACAAGTTTTATATGGTCCAAACTTGTTTAACTTTTTGAGGACCTGACAGATTGTTCTGCCCCAAGTGGCTGACCACTTTACATTCTTAACAACGGTATTATGTCCATTCAGGCTGCTATAACAAAATACCTTAGACTGGGTAATTTGTAAATAACAGAAATTTATTTCTCACAGTTTTGGGAGACGGGAAAGTCCAAGATCAAGGCACAGCAGATTCAGTATTTGGTGAGAGCGCTACATTCTCACATGGTAGAAGGGACATTAGGCTCTCGCATGCTGCCTTTTTTTTTTTCTTAAAGCCAGTCAAATTTAGCAGTGGTGGGGGTTGAATACTCATGCTGCTTTTTTTTTTTTTTTTTTTTTTGAGACAGAGTCTCGCTTTGTTGCCAGGCTAGAGTGAGTGCCATGGCGCTTAGCCTAGCTCACAGCAACCTCAAACTCCTGGCTCGCGAGCGATCCTTCTGCCTCAGCCTCCCGATAGGCTGGGACTACAGGCATGAGCCACCATGCCGGCTAATTTGTATATATATATCAGTTGGCCAATTAATTTCTTTCTATTATAGTAGAGACAGGATCTCACTCTTGCTCAGGTGGTTTTTGAACTCCTGACCTTGAGCAATCCCCCCCCCAAGCCTCCCAAGAGCTATCATGCT